TAGACATCTCTAAAAACGGGCGCATTACACTCACTCAAGAATTATGTATGAAAAAATTATCCGCAAAGTGGGTGCCGCGATTGCTTACAGTTGACCAAAAACGCGTTTCACAAGAATGTTTGAACCGCTTTAATAGCAATAGAACTGATTTTCTGCGACGGTTTGTTACTACAGACGAGACTTGGGTTCATCACTATATACCTGAATCAAAAATTCAGTCTAAACAATGAACGGAAAAAGGATCCCCGGCTCCAAAGGAAGCAAAAGTCGTGAAATCAGCGGGGAAATTCATGGCGTCAGTATTTTGGGATTCGAAGGGTATATTGATGATTGATTACCTTCCAAAGGGACAAAACATAAATGGCGAATATTATGCTGATCTACTGGATAAATTACAAGTGTGTATTCGTGAAAAAAGACCCGGCCTGGCTAAAAAAAAATAATCTTTCATCAGGATAATGCGCGCGTTCACACGTGCATCACTGGGATGGTGAAATTCAAAGAATTAAATTATAATTTGCTACCACACCCAGCTTATTCTCCTGATCTGGCACCACCTGACTTTCATCTATTCCCTAAGCTCAAAATTTTTTTAAATGGACAAATATTTGAAAATAATAGCGAGGTAATGTCTGCTGTGGACAGTTATTTTGAAGGGCTTGAAGAAAACCACTTCAGAGATGGCATCAAAGCTTTAGAGCATAAATGGATGAAGTACATAGCGCTTCAAGGAGACTATGTCGAAAAATAAATATACTTTTAACACACTAATTCAAGATTTTTTATGCTAAGCTAGCTATTTATGCTGTGCCCGCGACTTCGTCTGCGTGGGAAGTATTTTGGTAGAATTCTTTTTTTCCTATGAATGCAGACGAATCGAATAAGATCAATGGGCCATAACCCACTACGCGGGCTTAATGCGTATCGGTGGGTGTTAATGTTGCTGATGCAGCCAGGACTAACGCCTTAACGTGCATTATGCCAGTGTTATGCACAGTGCTCAAGATAACAATGTTTTGGTCACCCATCCTGTAAACGGTCATTACGAATGTTATTTTTCTATTTTTTTCTCGTTTCTCGCGCTCTGGTTGTTGCTTGTGTCTGAGCATTTTATTCGTACCTTTAAACGGTCCTTCTTTTGTTTCGATCTTTTTAAATTATTATTATTATTTGTCTAGTTGTATGCACAATCGGTTATTTATTGTTCTATTTTTCATGTAATGCTAGTTTGCCTGGAAGAAATCGCCGGCTAGCAATGAGTTTGTCGTTTGTACTTATTTATATAAAATAAGTATTCATGTATGTCCTTGTTGTGCAGTATTTACTTACTAATTTAACTGCAATTTAAACCGAATGCGCTAACCCACTACGCCATCGGACCCCTTATGCCTAAGCTATACTAATATTATAAAGAGGAAAGATTTGGTTGTTTGTTTGTTTGCATCGAATTTGCTCCAATACTACTGGACCGGTTGCAGAGCGATTCCGACCTACGGGAAGCTACATCAGACGCAGATGTCATAGGCTATAATTTTGCGGCAAAGTTGTGGGAAAATAGCTAGTTCATTATACCCTGTGAAAACTTATCTGCCGTACGCCTGTGGAGTATGAAGTCAACACGGGTTGGCGATAATCGAATCTACTTTCTCGATCTCTATTGTGCAAACTGCGCGCTCTTTAAGAGACCAAGCGCATTTCTCTATCAAAAGAAGTTTCATACTGCATGTATGTAAATGCTTCAGATTCAACTTTATAGTGCATGAGCCTCGCGATGGGCAGTTAAATACGCTTCGCGTTTTTCAGGTGTCTCCCGACACCGAGCGCTCTCTGTCTGATCTCTTTCTTTGTCTATAAAAGTCGGTCAGTACATGTCTGACGGAAGATACGTGGAGTTTTATTTATTGATATAAAAAAAATATATACACATTTTAATTTCGACTTTCCACACTCGAAGGAAATCGTCTACTAACATACTTCCGTGAGGTGCTTAACTGAGCTTCTGTCAGATTTGAACGGTCCTCATCATCATCATCATCAGCCCTTTTACGTCACCAACTGCAGGAGCTCAGGCCTTCCTTATGGATGGTTAAAGAGGATGGGCCACGACCCTCCATGCTGGCCCAATGTGGATTGGAGGATATTAACGACTACAAATACAACCGGGACCAATCGCTTTACGTGCTTTCCGAAGCTTGGAGTTGCTTGAGATAATATTTTTTGGTCATCTATCCTGTGCCCGACCTTTGCGAAAGTTGCTTAACAACTACAATCGCGGGCCATGGCGCTTATTCACTACGCCACCGAGCTACTCTGAACCGACCCACAGACTCGCGTAATATTATATGAGTGTTGTGACCAATGAATAAAGCATTGTTTCCAGCGAAGACTGAAAATACCAACTTTGAAGTACCGTATCTACAGCAATTTGTATGTTAAAAAAAAAACAAAAAGAGTATTAACATAAAAAATAGCAATAAGAGAAAAAAAAATATAACTCGAGTTGTCTTTACGTCCTTAACTTCAGTTGACGTGAATATAAGTTTTTTAACGTCGTGGAAAAACTTCTGACATTGTCTCTGTTAGGTGCCAGGTGGCAAGCAACAGGGGTGAGTAGGATTCTCCTCCGTGAACCCGACAGTGAGCTGCCCGGTGGGTCCCCAAAGGCCTACCCACGAAAACCCGTACTCTACACCTTCTCATGGGAAATGAAAACCGGCAAGCTATGGCCGAGTGACCAGGACACTCATGTAATGGACCATAGGTCCCCTTGCAGATGGAAAATTGGAAAGACTCGGGTAAATTGAGTGCCTTTCCCAGACAGACGAAACCGTGCAATGCGGGAGCGGCTGCCAATCACCTCCGCTGACCCGACGACGACGTGAACCTAATCTGATAAAAATATGCGTTCACTGTAAAATACTCGAGGCTTAATTGCATCATCGGAAGGCTCTTTCCGCATGTTCTCCTACTCGCGTGATCGTATACCACATGTCCATTATAAGCTGAACCCTATTTAATACGATTGGCCATATATAAATGAGGCCAACTTACTTAGGAGTTCAAAATTTTGGAATCATATTTTTTTATTTGTCATCATACAAATTATCATTTCATAGACAATATTAATTCGTAGCTCGGTGGCTCTACGGATATGCGCCGCTGCGCACGATCGCTATTGCAAAGCAATTTTCGCAAGAGTTGTTCACGGGATGGAACAGTAAATATTTCATAGCAATTTTGGCGACCACGTCACTTCAAATTGACATAACTTTTGTATTTGTGAACCGATTGAAATAAATCTTACACTAAATGTTAACGGAAGAATGCCGCTATATAATAGTGAAAACTGTATTTAAATCGGTTCAGCCGTTTCTGAGATTATCGTGCACAAACGCACAGACAAACAGACAAACGACAAACAGACAAACAGACAAAAAATTTAAAAATCATTGTTTTGTGTTCTATTACTCTTAAAAATGTCCCTCATAACAGTTTTTTTCATATATCTTCAATGTACAGACATCGATCGGTTACGTTTTTATTATAGTATAGACAATGTATGACGATGTTGGTTAGCGGTCAGTCGCGCTTCACATGCTTCACAGGATTCTAAATGCCAATGTCGCTGTCTTCCAAGTAACTGCATTCTGTTCATTTTATTCTTAGAAAATTCGACCATGTTTCGTTCATAGTTAAAATAGATCCCATCCGGAAGCAAAGAAATATGGCACTGTAACTACCTGGTTCTCTTTGCTAAAATCTCCAAACACTCCTTCATGTTACCTCACACTTCCAGTACTTATGAACTTCTCACACCAAAACTCCCTCCTCTTATCGTCTACTCTGCCTATTACAATACTCCAAAATCGTTCACTCTTCATTCTTCATCAAATTTATTCTTTGGTGGGATGGGTTGGAAATTTATTAAATCGTTATTCGCCCTAAAGGCAAACCATTTAACTCGCGGGACGCCTGCGGGGCTAGAGGTAGGTGGGTGCGGAGGAACTCACAGACGTTTCGGAGGTGAAGGTGCAGGAAGCACAAGTGACGTTTCTCAGTAGGCTAGCGACTCTTGCGGCGTACAGTCGGCTTTTTGGTTACGGACGCTCGGCACAAGATCTATACGAGGTTATTTTTCCTGAGATATTTTCCAAGATGAACGCTGAAGGACGGTCCAAAATTTTTGCTAAAAAAATTAACAAGCAAGCTAAACAATTAGTAAACAATGTTTATTCTTTCTTTCAACAAAGAAAACAAGATCAAACTTCCACGGAATTTTTACAAGATGTAAACCTGCACAAAATCGTCGCCCAAGCAACGCAAATATCACTGTCTACTGTGAGTAAAATCATCAAAGAAGGAAATGATCTGAAACGCGACCAGAGAAGTGTAGTATTTAAATCCCCAAGAAGTAAAAAACAGAACCGAACTAAAAGAATTGAAATAGATAATTTTACTGAAGGTGTCATCGGACGAAAAATAACTCAATTGTATACTATATACAAAAAGGTACCCACATTGAAAACACTAAATGCTAAACTTAAAGAAGAAGGAATTTTAAACTGTGGTCGAGAATATTTGAGACAGTTACTGCATAAACTTGGTTTTAAATTTAAAAAATGTCAGTCAAAAAGAAAGCTGCTTGTTGAGCAACCAAATATTATTTCTTGGAGATGGAGATATCTAAACGCGATAAAAAAACATCGACGAGACAAGAGATCTATTGTTTATCTTGATGAGACATACGTAAATGCGTCTTTAAATATTCCATGGTGTTGGCAATCTGCAAAAGAACGTGGAGTGCTGTCACATATTGGCAAGGGCCGAGATTAATTATTGTACATGCAGGTGGCCAAGCTGGTTTTGTAGAAGGAGCTCTATTAATTTTTAAATCGAAAAGTAAAACCGGAGATTATCATAATGATATGAATTTTGTAAATTTTAATAAATGGACCAAAGAGAAATTATTGCCAAATTTACCTCCAAGATCTGTAATCGTTATGGATAACGCTGCCTATCACTCAGTGCAGGAAGATAAAAAGCCAACGATGACCAACACAAAGGCTAACATGCAGGCCTGGCTGCAAAGACATAATGTCGAATTTGATAATTCCTTAAGAAAATGTGACCTGCTTAAGCTGATTAAGCAGAATGGTTCTGAAAATGTTTATAAGATTGATGAATTGCTCAAAGCTGCGGGTCACGAAGTATTAAGACTTCCCCCCTACCACCCAGACTTAAATCCTATTGAGTTGGTTTGGGGGGATATCAAAGGTCAACTGGCAAGAAACGAACTGGATAGTAATTTAGATAAAAAGAAGATTGCACTAGAGCAATTATTCAACGAATTTCCAGCAGAAAAATGGGCAGCATGTGACAGTCATGTCGAAAAAATTGAAGATGATTATTGTAGTTACGACTCGATAATGCTATGGACCAAATAATAATCAATTTACAAGATGACTCGGATTCGTCCAACTGGACAGAAGAAGAAACAGAAGATGATTCAAGTGTCATGGACATTAGTGAAGAAGAAAACCAGTAAAATAAATATATACTTAATTCTGATTGATATAAATTCTTAAGTGTAAAATATTGTTTATTTTTTTATTATGTCATCCCGTCCCATCCGTCAACCCGTGAACAAACACCAGAGATTGTTTTTTTTTACCTGATATTGGGAAGGCAATGGAACTGAGCCATACATCCTAATCTACTTACCATCTTACTAATATAAGACTACGCTAATGTCTTCCTATTCGTAAAGGGAAGCCGGTGATAATCGAACAACTTGAATTAATATCAAAGAAAAAATATATATTGCATAAATAATATAAATATTAAAATAAATAAATAAATAAATATGTTCCAAAATAAGTAAATATGTTCCAAAAACATTTACATTTATTTTATATGTAAGTGAAATGAAATGACAAAGTTTATTATTTATTTAGCATCCGAGTAAGATATCTCGGGATTTATCTCGAAACAAGTCATTACGTGTGTACCGATACCCGCGCCCACCTACCTCTTACCCCGCAGGCGTCCCGCGAGTTAAATGGTTTGCCTATAATAATGTATGTATTTTTAAAATAATTTTGTATGTATGTTACGCTCAAAGATCGAATCGGAATCTCCCATTAATGGCTGCTTATGATAATTATATCTTAATGGATATGGTTAAACCTCAAAATACTTAGATAAATATATGATCAGCATGACGTTTCATCTTAATTTACCTACTTGTTCTAGGTCTTTGCACGCTTACGGGCGCGCCTTGCGAATCGGTATCTTTACAAGCTGGTGGCGCGGGAGGAGGGGCGGGGGGCGGAGCACCTCTCGAACAGCTGGACCGGGATCTTGTGTGGGCGCAGCTGCTGTCCTCCCGCCAGGCCTGCTTCTTGATGGGCGCCAGTTGCGGTGGTGGCAACATGAAGGTAGGTATATTACTTCTGGAATATCTGGACCAAAATCTGGATCGCAGATAGCAGCTTTTGATTTAGTAATGTTTGTATAATAGATGTATATGTGTATGTTCAACATTATAGACGTTTCTTTTGTTTCCCTTACTATTTCAGTAATTCTTTATGAGCAAAAGGAAACGCTGATGTATGCTAACAACTTTTCTCAATTATCATTGAACACATATTGAATTATTCTAATTTACATGTTTAGAGTTATAAAATAATAATAAATAAATCCTTAGGCCGCGTTCAGTACTCACTACGTCTCTCAAAAGAATGCCAAGCTTTAGATGAATATGCATTATTTTTGAGTACTTTGCTTGATTTTTTAAATAGCGTTGGCAGCCTATTTCGTCTATCCAATTTAATTTAATTTCTAGTTGCTCCATACTTGCCGACAATACAGTATTAAACTGGCTACACATATTTTTAGTGGGAAATGAACATACTGTATCATGGGATAGCTGTCTAAATTAAGATATGATTTCTTTATGTATTCGATCCTTTTATTTTTATTGGATAAGACTATCGGGATATAGGGATAGGACTATCCATCTAATAGATAATAAAACAAATATAAAACATGTGCTTTTTTTTTTCTTTTTTTTTTTTGCTTAAACAATAAATTATACCGATAAATTGAGCTGAAATATCGTAAGGCGTCACACCTAAGGTGCAATTCAAACGCTAACTATACGCCACGGATTTATGGATGCGTCCATCGCGGCGTTTTTTCAATTTATACAATGCCATAACGCAGCCATACGAAACTAGCTAAATATATTTTTTTAAAGATTTTATTGATAATTATATTTCTTAAAAAATAAAATGATATTGTTTCATATACAAAGAGCTATAAAATTACAGGGTCTTCACTTCCATATTGATGGAGCGTAACAAAGAGTGACAATAGTCAATATTTAATTTTTTTATAACAGGTCGATGAAGAAGAGTATCAGCGTTTAGGCCTTCGCCCCCGTCACGCTTACTCGGTGTTAGACGTTGTGGAAGTAGCCGGACCCACTCGTCTACTCCGCTTACGGAACCCTTGGGGGCATTACACATGGAGGGGCGCTTGGGCCCACGGATGTCCAAGATGGACGGACGAGTCCAGGAGAGCTGTCCAAGCCCATTCTGGAAGCTCAGACGCTGATAGAGACCAAGGGGTATTCTGGATCAGCTTCGATGACGTTTTAAAGTAAGTTCATATTAAGTGATATTAAAATTAAACACAGTACAAGCTCGTGACAAATATGTGTGTTTTGTAAAGGTTGATATTTCAGTATGTTCTTCCACATCAGTCTTAATGTCACTCAGTACCCACTGCGGAGGTCAAGTGCTGGAACACTTGGTGACAGTGGCGCGAATCTTAATTTTTTTGTTTCACTAAATAAAGATCTGAGTATTTTTCTTTCAACTTAAAATAATAGAGATGATGACTGGGTAAAATAAGACAGTTGATTTAGTGAAAAAAACCCGTTTTATATTCTTTGGTAATCTACCTGATGGACAGACAAACAAAATATACATCATCCCTATTACTTATAACGCTACAAGTCACTACTATAAGATACTGAATAATAAAACATCATAAAATTCTTACACATTTTTGTCATGAGCTCTCATTGGAGAATTTCATACGTTTACCTTTAAGTCTATATCGTTAAAATTTTGGGTTCACCTCATAACAAATTGGCAGTTGAAAGAAGGACGATAACATAAATATCCATCAGTGAAATTAATCTTTTAACCATTATTTCCGTCTTCTTTCTCAGGTACTTTGATTGTATAGATATTTGTAAGGTGCGAGTGGGATGGCACGAGGTAAGACTAGCCGGTATACTTCCGCCGATGTCTTCAACAAGGCACCTGACATGTTTACTGTTGACTGCCACACAACCCACCGAAGTAGACTTCACGTTGTTTCAAGAAGGTCAAAGGTGAGCCTTAGTATATTATAAGGATCATATTAAACTGAAATTCTTTTGTAATAAACTAAACTATTTATCATCATCCACGCATTTACAGATTCATATAATCACCGTTAATTTGAGCCAGAAAAATATACTACTTCATGTTGTTTCTTTATTCTATACTCTATAGATGGCGTTGATCTTTTTATGCAAAATGAATATTAACCCAATAGATAAACCAAAGGGTTCAATTTTCATATTTTTAATACCATTTTATACAAAGAGGAGCTGAAAATGTCTTATAATAATCATACAAAAATCAATCGCCAATTTAAAACATATCCCTTGATTAGATTTTTTACACGTGTGATTACAAATTTTAAAATAAAACAAATGTCGTAAAAATATTGGTGTAGGTAAATATTTTGTAATGTTTGAGATGAGTCATCATCATCATCAGCCCTTTTACGTTCTCACTGCAAGATTCCAGGCCTTCCTTATGAATGATTAAGGAGGATGGGCCACGACCCCCTACGTTGGCCCAAAGCGGATTGGAGGACATTAACGAGTAAAATTACAGCCGGTACCAACGGCTTAACACGCCTTCCGAAACACAGCGTGGGAGATAATAACTTTTGGGTCACCCATCCCGTGACTGACCCTTGCGAAAGTAGCTTGATAACAACGATTGCCAGCAGTGGCGTTGCCACTATGCCACTTGGCTACTCTTCTTCTATTATATAAATAAATAATAAATCAAAACAATACATAATAGAAATTAAAACGCATGGAAGATCTTACGTTACCCTTCTAACGGCGTTTTAATTACACATATTTAATGTTGCGTTTCATATTTTGTATTAAACGTTCTGAAATATTATTTATTGTAGTGATGCTTTTCCTTTTTTGTTATAGGAATTCAGCTAAAAGTCAGCGTTCTCAATTAGATTTGTGCGTTGTTGTGTTCAGAACAAAATCTGGACCTAATGCGCAAGTCGGCAAACTTGTAGCACACAGCAAAAGACAGGTATAATTACTGTGATCCCTCCTTTTTTTACATAATTTGGCAGTTAAATACATCATCAAATTAGTGAAAGGAACACAGTAAATAGTTACTGTAATAAAAATTAATTAAACTTACTTTGCCAGTAATTTCGAAAGTCACTTTTGAATATGTACAAATCTCTACCTTTTTTTATGAAATAAAACGAGAAAAATGTGGGCCTCGCTTAGTTATTTGATAATTCTTGTTAGTACAAGGTCTTCTGTAGATTTACAAAATATTTATTATTGTAAGTATATCACATTAGTCCTCGTAACATCTTAGATTGAATAAATTATGTGGATTTTGATATTATACAATTATTAAAGAGGTAATGTTTACAATTTTGTTTGTTTGTAGACAAAATTGGATTGGAAAAATCTTCGGAAATACTAATCCGATCATGAAAATTTTTGCAGTAACATAGGCTATAATTTACGCGGGTGATTTCACCGGTAAATAGCCAGTAGGATATAATTGTAAAAGCGATATAGTCGTATGTCACTCTATAAAACATCCACAGGTTCGCGGCTTTGTCGGTTGCCATAAAATGCTAGAAAAAGGCTTCTACCTAGTCGTATGTTTGGCCTTCAATCATTGGCATACTGGCCTCGAATTAGCAGACAGTTCGGCTTGGCCTCGACATGTGCTAGCAGCTCACTCATCGAAGCCGTTAGCTGTTGAAAGGCCATCTTTACATCCGCATATATTAGCCGATGCCATAATAGGCCTCACGTTAGCTAGAGGCCAGCGGCATGAAGGCCGACAGGGAATGACTGCCTATTATCTAACCAAGGTTAGTATTGTTTTAGTTAAAAGTCAGAATTAAATATGTTTGTTTTATTCTAAAGCCCTTTCTCAATAAATAAAATCTAATGGTGTTTGACTTCTAGTAATAATAACCTATTTTATTTTTTAATTATTTTGTTATTTATTATGTACTAATATTTCGGTAACTTCAACTTATTGCACAATCTTTTAAAGACAAACACACCACTATGAATACAGTATTGTTACATCGGTGATTATTACGATACGCACAGATTACATATACGATTACAAAACAGAATTAAAAATGGATAGAAAACTTAACGTTTTGATATAAGGACATAAATAGTATTCTATGTCAGCTCCGTATATCAAGGAGCTGATATATTGATAAGAGCAATTTTTAATACCAAACACTATAAATTGCTACAAAAATATCTGCGATTTATTGAAAATGAATTTTAAATGTGTCTTCTGACGTGTTATTGGTTGTTTATAAGATGAAGGTAATTGTCATCTTACTAAGCTAACTCGGTACCGGGTTTTTAATTACGACAACGGCTCCGATTAGTAGAACATTAATATCTCAGAATTCGATTTAAAACAATCCTGTCTTATTATAACATACGCTCACGCTCTCACAAATATAATTAAGAGTGCAAAATACTCTCATTAGTAGCGAAAGTAACAAGTACCTCTTTTATACAGGGTTGGGCAGGCCTTGTGGTAATGGTGGAGAATCGTCACACCGACAAATGGATTCACGTTAAATGTGACTGCCAGGAGAGTTACAACGTGGTCTCCACCAGAGGAGAACTCAAGACGATAGATTCCGTGCCTCCTTTACATAGGTAATTTCTTGAAATACCCAATGTTACGAGCTGTCGGCAATAGGGAATATGCGTTTGTCAAAAAAAGGGGTTAAATATATTTCATTACGATCATTGTTGCTTTAGAATAAAGCTTATGTAAATATCTTTGAAAATCAGTTCGTTTTCGTCTTGAAAAAAATTAATAAAAGAACAAAAATATGCGGTAACTTAAAAATATTCAAACGCCATGTTACTTTGTCAGAGCGAATGAAAATGTACACGTATAGGGATGTCGTTGTTACAAAAAGTTAACGTCAATGCAATAACATCAATGTATTATCTTGCAAAATAAACAACAGTTTAATTTATGTTTTGCATTTTTTTTTTCACTAATTCGGTAAACTATTTGATTATTAAAAAAGTCTATTTAATACGATTAAAAATCCCTCGAAATCCATATTGATTTAAAAGTCATATCTCTCAAGTCATGTTTTGTGACGTCACGACAAGCGCGCCAAAAATTCCGTGTTTTAAACTGATCGTAGGTATTTATTTTATTGTTACTAAATTTTAGTTTTTCGGTGCCGGGTATTCTTTTTATAGTTATACTAGCTTTCGCCAGCGGTTCCGCCCGTGTGGACCCTAGGGAAATATTTTGTGGGATAAAAAAGTATCCTATTATCTAAGTCAGCTAATACCCTATCTGTATACCAAATTTCATCAAAATCCGTTCAGTAGTTTCGGCATGATTGACCGACAAACATCTAAACATCCAAACAAAAAAAAACTCACATTTATAATATTAATAGGTGACGATGTAAATTGACTAATATGTTCTCTACTAATATGTATCTAAAGGAATTTAGATTACATAATTAAATAATATTAAACATATTTTTTTATATTTTTGTGGTGTAATCTTACATTACAGTGATTCATTGACTTTAAATGTCACATGACGTGACACTTACGTACATTTTATACATAGCTGTGACGTAGCAAGCCCTCCGCAACTTAAGTGCTTATTATCTAAGACATTATTTGTTAAATTAAGTAAAAAAAAAATATACGTTTCTAATATTTTTCTATTATCCAACTCATGGAATATAAAGAAAGATTTGATTGTTTGTTTGTTTGCAACGAATAAGCTTTGAAACTACTGGACTGATTTTAAAATTTAAAAAATAAAAATTAACCTTTGGAAGCTATATCATGTGCGGTGGACATAGCCTATATTTTAGCCCGAAAAACGATGAAAATAGGAGTGGAAGTTTGAATAGGAAATAAAAACTTTACTTGAATAGTAAACAATCGTTACTAAGTAAAATTCGTCATTGTAATTATATCTGTGTCATCGTGTGATATGAATCGATATCCAAATAAACAGTTAGAGAACACGTGGGTGAAGCCGCCTGTGGAAATGTAGTATTTAATATATTTGGTGTTACCTATTATTAAAACAATACCAATGTCACTAAAAGCATGAAATAGAAAAAAATTAAAAAATAATAGGAAAATAGATCTTACTTAAAACTTTAAAAAAGTGACAAATAATCTCAAAAGCGACTTATTCAAGAAACTGCAACAAAAGTCGGGCGCCTATCATTTAATTAAAAAACCTACAGAAGAGCTTCGCCCAACTTCGATAGCATTTTCGTATTCATTAACAGAGTCGAACAGCCTATTATTTGATAAAATTTATATTTACTAAAATTTACTAACTTTGTTATCAGACAAGTGATAATAGTACTAACCCAACTGGAAGGCAGCGGGGGTTTCTCAATAGCCCACCGTCTCACGCACCGGTTGGCGGGCGGGGCCCGCCTGCAGGATTGGGCCCCGCACGCTGACGGCGAGCCCCGCCACCGGCCCCCCCTAGCGCGACGACTACTCGGATTACACGCGCCCCGCCTCATCACTTAAACCAGCCATTGGTAGGTATAAAATATTAAAATTTCTTTATTTCAGCAATAGGGTAGTTTGGGTAGTGAAACTTAAGTTCCGAAATTGCACAAAACATAGAGGTTCTGATTTTGATTCTTAAAATCGAACGATTATCTTATTATTTTAAAATTAAAAGTCGAGATTGTTTTGTCTGTATGTTACGTGACTTGAAATACGACTCGCCATTATGTGACGTCACTGTGGCGACACTGTGTTTTTATTTTATAATCGATCGTAAGATGACACTGTTCTTGTTTTATTGACATTTTTTAATCTTCTACTCCATATCAGAATTTCATCTTGAATATGAAGGACAGCTTTTTCACAGGTATAAAAAAAGGCAAGATAACGTGTTTATTTTCTGAAATATTTGTTTTATGGCTTTTTTAAATTATACACAAGTATTATTTCAAACAGAGTCGCTTACCCTGTTATACATTCCACACATTGTTAATAGATATATTACTTATAACTTTGTATTACACCCAAATTAACATTTTAAATTATGTAATTATAAAATAATAATTGTTACAAGTTATAATTGTTTATTAAATTTAATAATTTTTGTATCATTCGGCTTAGAACCCAAATAAGTTTTTTAAAAGGGTCGTACAGACCTAATAAATATTTAGCTGGACATGACCTAAAATAGCCAAACATGTTCTAAAGCCAATAATTGCATCACAATAATATCACAAACGTCCAATAAAATTGACATTAGTTTAAAGAGACATAATCCATACAAATTTTACATTCATTTGAGGTTAAGGGTCGTCATTAAACCTTAATGCACGTTTATGCAATTGCCCGTAAGACTTGCATTTTACCATTGTACTATCTACCTAAAGTCCAATATTATTAGTGCAATTTCTTCCTCACTCATCAATGGTGACAAACGTATCATCATCATCATCATCAGCCATTTTACGTCCCCACTGCAGGGGCTCAGGCCTTCCTAATGGATGGTTAAGGAGGTAGTGCCATGACCCACCACGCTATCCCAATGCGGATTGGAGGGTATTAACGACTGCAAATGCAGCCGGGAACAACGGCTTAACGTGCCTTCTGAAGCACGGAGTAGCTCGAGATAATAATTTTTTGGTCACCCATCCCGTGACCGACCCTTGCGAAAGTTGCTTAACGACAACGATCGCGGGCCGCAGCGCTTATCCACTACTCCACCGAGCATAATATTATTGAACTTAGGTAAATAATACAACGGCAACATGCTAGTAGTTCAGATACTATTTATTAAGTAATATAAAGCAGAATTAGCCTGCCGGCCAGAAGGCAACCTTAGCAATAAAACTATACTATAACTAAGCAATAACATGGGGCGAACCTAATGCGGATTGATTAACGACTGCAATTGAAACCTTAAGCTTAACATGACTTCCAAAGCGCGGAGGAGCTCGAGATGATACATTTTGGCAACCCATTCCATAAAAAACTCTTTTATTTTAAAGTTGCAAACTTATCTTTTTCTGTTTAAGGTTTATTCGGCCGCAATTAATAGCCTTGGGTTGAACCCTGAAACTCAGCCTTAACACAACATCGGTAAGACCTATAATAGCTTGGCAAAAGTGAAAAATATAAATTACAAAACCTAAATGTTTCGTATATCTCTTAAGATACAGTTTTCTACTTTGTTAACGTTAAAATTGTATGGAGTTGTAAATTTATTGAATACTATATAGTTCGGTAACACTTAAACCTTTTCAACTTGCATTAAGATTGAAATTTGAAACTCATTGATTTTTTATTGTAACGTAATATGCATAGTTGCTATCGTATATCGAACCTCATTCCTAATATAATAATAATTGAAAATGTTTTTTATTTATTAGTATATTAAATTCCTTATTGAAACTGTAAAAGACGTCGGTATTCCAATTGAAGTAAAAGTCAGTAGATGTAGGTCTTAAATCAGATGTGTTTTTTTACTCTAGCATATTTTCAATAACTTTAAGTCCGGGAAAGGTCGATATGGCAATTTCTGATTGAAGTGATATTATAGCAGAGTACATACATACATGGTAAAACCCGCAGCGAACAGAACAGCTCAACAACAAATAACTGTGAGAGAGATCGAAATCTATAAACGCGGTCTAAGCGTACACGTAAATAAGTAGTTACCTAAAGTGTCATCTTAATTTTGATTGATTATTGTGTGTTTACACGTATTTATCAACTTGAAATTAAGTTAACTACTTATCATTTTCATAATTGTACACCGGCCATTATAAAATTTAGTTAACAATTTACTAACTACTTTATACGTGTAAACCAGCCATAAGTTCACGCGGGTGTTGTGCGAATAGGAGGGAGCTCCGTTCCCGTACTTCAGTTCATACCATGCCATGCCATGCCGACCTGTTGCATGTATACAGACATTGCCAATGTCTTAAACATTCTGCAGGTATAGGTACTCTTAAAATATTATAATATTTTCGAGATATCGTGAAATTCGCTGTGTTCCATCTTAACTACGTATATTAAAAAATACGTAAGTAAATCAGGTTAGAGAATGAGATACCGAATGTTGATTTTATCGATTCGGATTTATTGTCGGATATGAATAATTATGTCAAAATGTTGAGTTGGACATCTTTGTTAACTTTAGGAGGTATGTGGTGTAGTAATTAATACAAACATTTGATATTGATTACGAATCCGATTCTCGATAATATGTTAGTAAATACGTTATTCCATGGAGATCGATTCTGTAGATACAACACTACAACATTATACTCATAAAACCAATTTCGATATATCTTGTGATGTCGATAGACACCAAACAGCTACAACACTAGCTCAGGACTTGTCGACAAAGAAAGTTTACTTTTTAATTCATTTTTCTTATAAAACAGAATCACTTTTGATCAATTGCACAAACGTCGATAAGGGTTTAATGACGCCTTTAAACTCTAATGAATGTCAAATTAGTATGGATAGTGTCGCTTTAAAGTAATGCCATTTTAATGGACGTTTGTGCAACTTGCAGTTAATATATGTCATTCTAAGTCAAGTAAGCAATTCTTTTAAATAATGTTGTTTATTTTATAAGCAACTTTTAGGATTTTTGCAGAAAAAACTATGTTATGATAAATAAAACTGAGTTTTATAATGTCTATTTAGTATTTCAGTAAGTCTGTTTATATTTTTTAAAGTAAGCTTTATCTTTAACTTTTTTTTTAAATTATTTAGCGTCGGCGCACTATTGACGGGAGATCCGTCGAACGTGACGTCAGTGAGTGTATTATACAAGTATTTTAGGGTATAGTCAGAATCGAACTCTGTGTTTTTTATTTATATAGTTACATAAAAAAAGCAAATATACTGCACTAAATCATGTACCGTAAATGCAAAGAGTTTCACAGTGTTATTTAGTAATATATAACTTAAGCAGTACGCAAACACAATTACTTTATCACGATAACACTCGAATATAAATGACTAGACGTAAGAATTGTTGTATTCTGTTTTTGTAATAAAAAAAATAAAAAAAAAATAACAATTTTGTAACTATCCAGTGCTACGGTCGTAAGTAGAATAAAAACTTATTAATATTAGAATTTAATGAAATAAAATTGCCGTTAATATTTTTTCTACTTCGCAAAAATAATGTGTGCTTGGACGTACGAAGGTTCTATATTTGTCGGTGTTTTTCTTTAATACAAAACCTTCGTCCGTCCGCCATTTTGCTGTCAAACGGATATTACCACCGTAGGCGGCGCCGAATGTTATTTTTGACAGGTTTAGTATTATCACGTGATGATTTCTTTTATATCATATAGAAATCATAGTTTTTAACATAATTTATGATAATTGTAGCGAATGTATGTTCGCTTACATAATTATAACCGTAGCGGACGGTGTAAGTAGTAATTGTATACATATTGTAACGGTTTCGTATGATTTAGAGTTGTGTATTTATTTTAATATTAAGTATTTCGTGTTATCATGTAAACAGGGGGCTAATTGTTTAATTTTAAAATGCATCGCAATCAACTATTACAACTATTTGGCATGTGAAAGCGATTGCGTATGCGATGTTTTATTGTAAGATATTATTAATTTAACGTTAAAGCAAGTATATAATTCCTAAAATCGCTAGTACAAAAGCTGTACCTCTGAAAGGAATTACGATAGATTTTAATATTAAATAATAAGCCCACTGATTTTTCTTTAACTTTTATTGATTTTAATAAAATCAAAGTCTTATCGACAAATACTGCAATTAAATCTTAATATATAAAATTATTGTTTCTAAAGCTTACAAATAAAAAATGAAGTTAGATTTCTATGATTAATTAATCCGGTCAGTCGAATTATAAATTCAAATTACAATTAACAATAAAATTATATTAAGCAGTACCAAAGAATAAAAAAGGCATAATTAAGAGAATATACAATATTTACAACTTTTGATACCGTTCTCTAAGAAGGGGAAGATTAACATGTTAAGTACCCACAACCAAACACGGGCCTAATTGTCTAATTTTAAAATTGATCGCATTCCCTTTCCGTTTGAGATTTATAAGATAATCACGCTACAATTATTGATAGCGACTGCGATCGCGGCGTTTTTTTTTTTTGGAAGATATTGAATGAATGATATCGTTAATTGACGTGGTTACGTCTATGTTTTCGTTCTACAGGGGGGGTTATTCTGTGAGCAGGAGTATATGCACTAACGCCATCTATTGGCGTATAAGTGAACTATGCTTGCTCTGCAGGGGGAGGGGCATTCTGTCAGCAGGAGTATATGCACTAACGCCATCTGTTGGCGCTAGTGAATACTTTTTCATTCAACAAATGAACGCAACGAATATTTATTTATTTAGTGTTTAGTGTCTTCAATTTGTTTATATATTTTTTTATCAATTACTCATATATCCATTTATACATAGACGTATCCACGAATAAAATAAGGCTGTATCAACGATACAGCCAACTAGGGTTTTTTGAATTGTCTA